GCCGCTGAATTGGTCTTTTTTTTTTCCTGATACAAAGGCAAATCTCAGTCTAGTGCCTCCGTGCAAAGAGGTTGGTGGTCGTTTCAAAATTTTCAGCTTTTCAGCAATTATCTCAGAAATTACAATTAGAGAAAAAGAAAGTTCCTTACGTATTGTAGGTCTTTGAGAAGAAAAAAGGCTTATTTCAAATCCCTTGTTTTTCTAGGCTTAGCACTGTGGTCCTGGGTTTTAAAAGCATCATGGACAAATTTCAGGACTTGGGTAAGGTTGACACCTGATGATTTTTTCTTTAACCTGCCACAATTTGCTTTCTTTTTTTTTTTTTTTTTTTTAATAGTTGGTGAAACGAGAAGAAAAAGCAAACTGTTGTAAGAAAGGATTATTATGTTTACAAGCAAACTATTTTCATACAAAACAGCTCTTGCTGTCAACAAGTAGTATAGATGATTTCAGACAGGTTTTATGCCAAAGAAGCGTTTAGATCATCTAATCCAACCTGCATGCCACAGACCAACGTTGTCTCTGGGCAGAGCCTAATGGTAAATGAATCCACATACATCTGTACTGTATGAAAGGGATTAAAGCATTCGTCTTCTGCATTCATCCTGTTGGAATTACTGCTTGGGAACACCATTTCATACTAACCTACTTGCCTACTTTCAAATGAAACATTCAGATGAGCAGACTGCTGCTTATCTGAGCCTGTGGGGATTTAAATACTAGTAATTCTTCCATGAGCTGCTGGAAGTTATTGTTGCTTAGTACTCTTCAGGATTGTCTGACCTTGCAATCTGTTTTTCTGTGGTGGATTGATAAAATAGTTTTGTACATGAATTTTGGGAGATTATTTTTCACTTATCTGCTGTTATAAGATGAGCTATCATATTTTGGGGGGAATAACTTCATTGTAAATCCCTATGCATGGTGTAAAGGTAGCTTGATTATTGTATAAAAGCTAGAGAAAACAGTGAAATTATTTGTGTATGCTTCTGCCTTAATAAGTGCCTTTAAAGTTAAAATATTCAGGTTTTCAAATCTTCTTTTTGCTAATTTCTCTGATGTTTAACCCTGTGTATGAAAGGTGTTGGGCAAACAAGTGTAAACTGATTCCTTCCGTCTGTTGAATTTACACTGTTTTGCAGTAGAATTCAGCTTGCTGTGTAAGAATGTCGAATTCCAAATGTTTATACGAAAAAAATCCCCTCTGCTATAGAAGCAAGTCTGAGAGGAATTTACTTTACCTGGGTGCATTTTTAAATGCTGATCAAAATCTTGACTTCCATGGGGCATTTTTTTTTTTTTGGCTTTTCTTAGGAGAAATGGTTGGGTTGATTCTTTTTAAATTCTGCTTCTTTTAAGTGGCCTCAAGACACTTTTTATTTCAGGAACCAATGGCTCTGTTGAAGTAATTGGCCATATCCTCAGACATCTGGAGGTGGTGATCTTGCGGGGCGGCAGTGTCATTTGAAGTACCACCTGCTTGTCTGCAGATCCCTGTGATTAGGACACAGAGTTAGACGTTCATACTGCAAGTTCTTGCTCTCAACTTGAAATGGCCCCTTCAAAACTGGTAAAAGAACAGTTTGAAGTAGAACAACCCTGGTGAAGCCTGGAGAAAGCAATATGTTTGGGAAGAAATTGGCAGAGGCACCAAACTGTCTGAGAGCAGATGAAGTGTTGTCATCAGTTGCAAAATCAATGCAAATACTACAAAAAGAAATAAAAATTACTCTTGATCTGCTCTTGCCAAACACAAGGATTGGGAACCATAAATACCATTGGTAAATTGTCTTAGCTGCCAGTGAGCATCCTGCAGTTGTAATCAACAAGTTGGAGTTGTCCCTTGTAGTGCTGGGCAGCAGCTGTTGCAGAAGCATTGGATTAGCAGTGATAAAATGAACCTTTTCCAGTTCTTGCCTAAGGACAGGATCTTTACAGTTTAGAAATCATAGAATCATAGAATATCCTGAGTTGGAAGGGACCCTTAAGGATCATCAAGTCCAACTCTTGACACCGCACAGGTCTACCCAAAAGTTCAGACCATGTGACTAAGTGCACAGTCCAATCTCTTCTTAAATTCAGACAGGCTCGGTGCACTTCCCTGGGGAGCCTGTTCCAGTGTGCAACCACCCTCTCTGTGAAGAACTTCCTCCTGATGTCAAGCCTAAACTTCCCCTGCCTCAGCTTAACCCCGTTCCTGCGGGTCCTGTCGCTGATGTTAATGGAGAAAAGGTCTCCTGCCTCTCGACACCCCCTTACGAGGAAGTTGTAGACTGCGATGAGGTCTCCCCTCAGCCTCCTCTTCTCCAGGCTGAACAGGCCCAGTGCCCTCAGCCGTTCCTCGTACGTCTTCCCCTCCAGGCCTTTCACCATCTTTGTAGCCCTCCTCTGGACACTCTCCAACAGTTTCATGTCCTTTTTATACTGTGGTGCCCAGAACTGCACACAGTACTCGAGGTGAGGTCGCACCAGCGCAGAGTAGAGCGGGACAATCACCTCCCTCGACCTACTAGCGATGCTGTGCTTGATGCACCCCAGGATACGGTTGGCCCTCCTGGCTGCCAGGGCACACTGCTGGCTCATATTGAACTTGCTGTCTACCACGACCCCCAGATCCCTCTCTTCTAGGCTGCTCTCCAGCGTCTCATCGCCCAGTCTGTACGTGCAGCCAGGGTTTCCCCATCCCAGGTGCAGGACCCGGCACTTGCTCTTATTGAACTTCATGCGGTTGGCAATCGCCCAGCTCTCCAACCTATCCAGATCCCTCTGCAAGGCCTTTCCACCCTCATTCGAGTACACAACTCCTCCAAGTTTGGTGTCATCAGCAAACTTGCTCAAAATACCTTCTATTCCTACATCCAGATCGTTTATAAAAATATTGAAAAGTACCGGCCCTAAAATGGAGCCTTGAGGGACCCCACTAGTGACCGCCCGCCAGCCTGACGCAGCGCCATTCACCATAACCCTTTGGGCCCTGCCCGTTAGCCAATTGCTCACCCATCGTATGATGTTTTTATTTAGCTGTATGGTGGACATTTTGTCCAGTAGGATCCTATGGGAGACCGTGTCAAAAGCCTTGCTGATGTCCAAAAAAATCACATCAGCTGGTTTCCCTTGGTCCACCATACGGGTGATCTTATCATAAAAGGAAATCAGGTTAGTTAGGCAGGACCTACCCTTCACAAACCCATGCTGGCTGGGACCAATGACTGCTTTGTCCCCCAGGTGCGCCTCAATAAGTTCGAGAACCATCTTCTCCATGATTTTACCAGGCACTGATGTGAGACTGACAGGCCTGTAATTGCTAGGGTCTTCTTTCTGACCCTTCTTCAAATCTCTCACTTCTCTTGCTGAGTTATTCTGGCTCTCTGGTGGGGTGTTTTAACAATGAAAATGAGATTTTCAATGGTTCTCTTGTGCTTGTTTCAGGGAAATACTTCCCTGTTTTAGTAGGGTTCAGAGTTGGGCTATAAAGCAGTTACTTTGTACATATCAACATCGTGTAACTAGTAACCTTTCTGCCCTGGGAAATGCAGTTTTGGAATATTGTTATGTTTAGTAAATGTATCTGGCTGGCTGCCACTCAGTTGACCCCTATGGTGCACAGTTTGTGAGGGGATGGCCACCTCTAACTGAAAAGCAGCAGTCATGGGGCAGGATGCGTTACTAGATCACTACTGTCTATGGCAGATGTCCCTAATCCTTGGTTCCCAGGTACACAACTGTTGGGGCAGAGACTGTAAGATGGAGAGTGGTTTGGTTTTAAATTCTGAAATCTGTTTGTACTGATCCAAGCTCCGTTTCCATGGCAACAGGAAGTTTAGTGCTCTCACTTACCAACTTCAGCTGCTGGCTGGCTGTGGGGAGAGTAAAATGTTCCCTTATGCTAACCCCTGCAAAATCAGGAGTTGTGTTGGTGTATTAGCACTGCATTTTTTATGGAGACAGAAATAACGAGAATTATTCCATGCGTTTTGTTTGAGAAACACTTAACTTTAACTGCTTACAGATGAGATATAAATGTTCAGAGTTCATGACAGGTTACCAAATTGTTAAATTGTCATGTTCGTAATGGCAATGTAATGCATAAGATCACAGATTCTTTCCTGATTTTGGGGGGCAGGAGGTGGCTAGTGGTGTTCATTATGGTGTAGTTTTACAGGTTGTAAAACAAACTTGGTGCTTGCTGCAACTAGAATATAAGTCTGACCTCTGCATGCTTTCCCTCCAGTTCTTTATTGGCTGACTGCAGTAATGCAGGTGTCCTCCCTTGCTTTGCCCCAGCCCTGGAATATATCGGTTACAGCAGCAACTTACACCTAAAAACATCGTGAATCTGCACTCTGAGTGAGCCAAGGGCTAAAGTGGATCACCTTCTTATGAGAATTTTCTAAGGTCTGTTTGTGCTTTTGCCAACAACGGGGAGATCCCAGGCATGGTCTGCATGGAGTTCATACTGGCAGAAGGGCTGTGCTGACCCCAGGGGAAAGCAGATGAAGGCCAAACCTTCTAGAAGAAGCCCTAAAGAAGCTGATGGCTCTCCTGGGTTCTAAGTGGAATGAGGTTTATTCAGAAGACCATGGAGAACATGAAGTGTGTACTGCTAAGCTGTGTTCAAGATGAGAGCTGATAGGAGAAACTACCGATCCTTTGGTTGATAAGTTTCTCTATTGTGAGAAACTAGCTCTTCTGATCTGGAAGCATTGGCTGGTTAAACAAAACTTTTTTTTTTTTCTAATGATTTTGGCATTCTTATCAGTATTCCACTTAAAGCTGTTTCAGGGAGCATTGTAATTGCTCCAATTACTATTTGAAAGCACTTCTGTATTTCTGTAACTTGTACCATTCACTTTCATGTACAAGATCTTGACACAGCAGAAGGGTATTAAGCGTATGGGGAAACCACGTTATACTAGAGACTTGTAGCCAGAAGTGTCGTGGCTGATTCTGTCTTTGGTGTAGTATGGGGTCGAAAAAATAATATATATGTATCTCCGCAGGCTATTAACTCTGAGTTATTTGGATCCTGATTCTGCATGAAGAACAGCATCACCAGAAATGCTGATGCCAGCTGAGCTTCCAACAGGTGCACTAAACTTCTCATCTTCTAGTTCTCTTCTCTGTGGGCAGGTATTTCAAGCTTAACATATTTAGCCATCAGTTGGTCAGGGCGGGTGACCTTCTGTATAGGCTGTATAGTCTATGAATGCAGCTGGAATGCAGGCTATCCTGGATAGGTATGAGTAGAAACAAAATTTTAAGAGTTTGTTTTTTAAGAGTCTGGTTTTTGTACTTTTATTTAAAGAAGCATCAGTTCATGTTTTTTTTCTTTAATAATCCTGAGGTCAGTAAACTAGTAAACTAAGTCTTGGGAGGGAAAAGGGAAAATTGGTTAATTTGGAGATGTTCTTATTTCATGAGCTGAAGTCTCCTGGAGCAGTGTCTCCCTGCCTAGATCCCCTTTTTAATTCCAGATCCAACATATTTGTTTGTTTAGGTGCAATATACCATGCTTATGGGGACTTAGGTGTATTTCACCTAGGCAATCTGTTTTGGGAACATGGAACACCACTGCTGTGATAGTCCTGTCTGTTGTGTCGGGTAGGAGGTTCCAGGTTTGCTCTGGAAAATGGAGGACTCTTCCTCTGCTGCACTGGCAGGAATTCAGTTGGAATTTGCCAGTGTAAAACTAAAGATTGAACAGGAGCTGGTAGCAGAACAGATGACGTGTATTTTTCTTAGAACATAAATACAGCAGTGGGGAAGGAAAAGCCCAAAGTAACCATAATTGAATAATCGTATCACTTAAGTGTAGCCAGGAAATCTTGTTTGTGTGTATTAAGTAGAACTATGTCGACATTTTTCAAATGTGAGACAAAATAATTATTCAGCAATTACTGCTTTTTTTCTGTTCCAGCAGTCAGTAAGTCTATAAGCTAAAGACAAATTTTAAGAAGGTACGTGTATAATGTACATCTTTTCTGGAGGAATATACTCTCAAACTACCTGCAGTTAAATGTAGAAACACTAAGTAATCCAAGCAATGGAGCTTCTAATCTTCTTTAAAATGCTACTTCAAGAGTTGGTCTCGCACATACTATTCCTTCCCTCTTGCAGGTGTTTTTTATCGTGTGTGTATTTAAACGAATCTTGAAGTCTGAAAACATCGAGAAAACTTGTGTGTAACTTCTCTTCCTGTGTAATGGATGTTATTTAATAGGACAAGCCAGTATATGTGTGTGCACTGTCAGGCAATTAGTTGCTGCTTATCTGAGTGAGGAGCTTATTCAGCCACTTGTTTTATCCTGAAGTATTCAGTTCTTTTGTGTTTGACTTTTCTCAGTTTTCCTAAGGTCCTAAGTTTTCTCCCTGTAATATGTCTAGGCAACATAATCAGTTTTCTGGTGCTATTAGTCACTTCTTTATATCTGTAAATAGCTATCTCTTCCATTCAGAATCTAAGAGGTAAGATTCTCATTCACGTCATTCTTGGATGTAATTTACTTACCAGTAGTCACACTACTTACATTATGCTACTTATTTTTAGAACGGTCTAGGAGCTGTAATTGAATTACTAAGTAGAGTGATCCGATCCATTATCTAGCACATAGTACTGGTCAAATGGCTTTTAATGGCATTAAAATATAACCTTGTTAGTACTAAGATTATACCTGTTTTCCCCAGAATCAGAGTTTGTCAAGAATGACAAGCACAGAAAAAATTATCATTGTCCCGTAATCTTGTACTGTTACACCTACGAATATAAAGGAAAGCTCTCAAGCTGCTCTGGGGCTTAAATATTTAGCTGTTCCACCTTTAATGTAGGTAGGGGCTTGTACTTGACTATAATGCTGTTTTGTGTGGGGACTTAGTGTGCTATTTTATCAGTACAAGTGGGTGAAATTAAAAAGCTCTTAAGTATCTCTTAAACATATGCAAGTATAGTAGCGGCAGACATGCAGTTATATTTTCTTTCAGAAAAGGACTACTTCCAACTCATTCTGAAGAGGTCAGACTCCTTTTACTGGTGAGGGTGACATCAGTTTATCCATACCTTGGATTAAAAAACTGTTTCTGTCTTGGTGACTTAGCTTTAAATCTTATGCTTGAGACATATGCAAACCATAAAACCATGAAGTGAAAACAACTTTTGGTCAACTTTTCCACTAATATGCATAAGAAAACAATTCTGAAGTTCTTAGAACAGTAATTGTGGTTGGTTTATGAACATACTTGATAAATTTATGGATTCCCACCCATCCCTTGGAGACAACACACACTTTTCTATATGTAGTTCCAGACTTATTTGGAGCAATATATATTTAATTCATGTCATTGGCTAAGATTGTGATTTGGGCACAACCTATGTGCCCAGTATTATACTTCCGTTTATGTTCCTCTTCTGTATCTGTATTGCAGTTTGCCTTGTGGGGTTCTCTATATTTGTTTTCATATGATGCAGCAGGTCGAGGGCCAGCAAATGTTGATTCTGTACTTTCAAGGAAGAACTTATTTGATATCTATCTGATGTAAGCAATGAACTGAATTGTGTGTGGATTACTTCTTTCTGCTGCAAATGGAAATAAAATGTTTAATCTCTCTCCACTTTATACAGTAACAACTAAAATAAGGTTTTAAGCATGGATGAATGATGATGATCAGGGCTTGGTTCTGTAATGAAAATTTAAAATTGCCTTGAAAACATCTTACTATGCCGTGCTCCTGATTTGCAGCTTACCCAATAAGCCATTTGGCTACAAGGTACCAATAGTCACACCTTTATTTTTAAGATGTCCAGCATTTTGTTTGGAAGAATACTGTACTCTATTTCTACATGCAGCACAGCTTTTTGCATTTAGCTTTAATAATTTATTCATTATTTTCTTTCTCCTTCAAGTCATTTTAAGATTTCCTAGAAGGTATTCCAAAATGCAATAACTATGGGGAGGGATATATGTGCTTGTCAAAGACAGCTCATTTGTACAGCCTTGAAGACTCACTGTGTCTGCTGTCTGTGAAGGGCAGCTCCAAGTTAAGAATGAACTGTTTTGCACTTTCAGCAGCTGTGGAGATCTGTCCAGACACTTGAGGGCACTAGGACTGGGGTGTTTTGGTGACAATAAACAGTTCTGTTGTCCAGTTTGGTCCAGATTCACCTCTGAGTAAGAGAAAAGCAGCACTTTCCTTTATCTTCCAATTTCTAGGACTTACTCCAGAACATTGCAGGGTTCTGGAATTTATTTATTTATTTATTCAGGGAGGTTTTGAAGGTATGTATTATTGCTGCAATTTTAAATGAGAATACATTTTCTATTATATGAGGAAGTTTCAGAACTCTTCAGTCTAATTTCTGTGTTTCTTGTTGGATAAAAAAAAATGCTCAAGAGATGTCTTTTGCAGATATGTTGCTTTATTTTGGTGCATTGACTTCCAACTCTAAACAATGGAATGAAAGCAAGTATTTGCAAGTGGCAATGAGAGTGTGGATATGTCTCATCTCTCAGGTTTCCCTGTGAGGCGGCTGCCTATACCTCAGACTTCATGTATGGCAAACCTGCAGCTGTGAATCAAGGTCTTTCCTAGGACATAACATGCTCCAATATTGAATATTGTAGAGAGCTTGTGCAGATGTACAAATTAATTGTTCAGCTGTGTGATATCCAATGTCTGATATACTCTTATAGTCAAGTGACAGCAGTTAGTTTTATTGTGATCTTGTGATTTGTCTGTGATCTAAACCAATTTCAATTAATGTTGGGCAGAAGTCAAGCTTGAAACAGAATAATTTTTGGCAGGATTGCCACCAGCTTGCTAGCACTGGCACTGCTAGTGCAAAATCAAAATAATTGTTGATCTGTTAATGGCAAACTGCCAAGGAAATGCTGATTCTGATTTCAGTCCATTTCAAAAAAAAATACATTTATTAACAGTTATTTATGAACACTGCAGTGATGATAGCATGGGAGACTTCACTGTAAAAATGGATTTACATTTGTTTTCAAGAATCAGAAATTAAGAATGTATGTTTTTTTGTGTGAATATGATAACTTAGTGAAATGTCTTACCAGTATCGTCTCTTTTTTTCTGTTATAAAGGCTATTTTGGAGGTGACCAAGCCAATGTTTGTGTCTGTTAGCCTAAAAATATTTTATGTAACAAAGAAATAATTGTTTGATGTTGCCTGGTCATGTTTTACAAAATCTAATAATAACTCTTATATAGGGAATTATGTCCTATGCAAATTAAGTGTTTTCCTACATCAAGTTAGTCTCAAGAGGATTTATTGCAAGAAGGACAGATGATTGGGGTAGAGAAACAAGACTTGTATTTTTAAATGAAAAAAAAAAAAAACAAAACACAAGAGGAATGTCCTTTCTAAAATGTATCTGAGAAAAATCAGAGTGAATAGTAAGGTTGTCTGTCAATGCCAGCGGTGTTCGATATTTCTTCTACAGTTACACATCAAATATAAATAATTTTTGTGGCTCCTTATATTTGTCACTTAAACTACCTCTTCTAAAGAACCTAACGACTTAAATTTTCATCCCTTCTCTGGAATTTGTTTTAAATAAAAAATGCCATGTTTCATGGTGCTCTTGGCTGGGCTGGCTGCAGGCAGCCCTGTTTGCCTTCTAGTGGGGAAGGCATGGTTGGCATGAGCATGCACCTAGTGTGTGGCAGGGATTGGGCTCTTCATCTGTTTTGTTTAAGACCTAGGAGACTTCAGAAACATCCCTTTGTCCCGTTACTGGGAGAATTGTTTCAGGTTGTATAATGCTTTGCTCAGCGAACTTGCCAGCTCTAGCCAGGAGTGCGTCACTTCCATGCTGACATTGGTGGTGTCTGATGTCACCGTGCTCTTGCATCTGCCTGTTGAATGCTAGGCTGAAAAAAAGCTAGTTTTTGCCTTCTGCAAAATGCTACCAGCGCAGCTGAGTGGGGAGGTAACTCAATTTTTGAAGTAACATGTTCTCTATATGCTACATATTTTCTCTTCTTTTTTTTGTGTGTGTGTGCATAGTTGTTTTTTGTTCTGTGTTGTTAAAGGTGTGTATCATCTACTAAAGTTTCTATCAATTCTAGAAT